TCCAAATTCAATACTTCATTTGTTCGTTTTTAGTTGGGATCCAAAAAAAGTTATATATTACGATAGTGTTTATTGAGACCAATTCAAAAAGATCCCGCATGAATATGTTTTTTCTTACCTATTATTCACAAAAGACGATCGAAGGAGGGGTGGTAAATAGTGTAAAAGTCAAAGCGGGACAAGTAAAAAAGAACGGATGAAGTAAGATATTAGATATAGCCTCCAACAAAGCGGAACATAAGTACATGTACATTAAGTATTGGACAAAGAATGGAATGAAACATGCTAGTGTTACTCAATTTCACATAGAATGATCTATATACACTTCTCAATCATAATAAGCTCAATAGCTTCAATTTTCAGCCAACCTTCGAATCCAACACAAACATCAATTTTCTTCAATTTTGCCCATCAAAACAAACCTTAATCAATTTCCCATTGATTCAAAACTGCTCCTAATTCCACAATATTCTTAAGCCCATGAACAGGTTCAATATCCAAACATCTAGTCAAATTCAAACCCCCAATCAATCATAGCGCATATGCTTTCATTCCACTATAATCCTACCAGAATTTAGGTGCATAAGAATTACATGATACCTATAGCATTACACATACCAACTTAAACATAAAATCATCTAAATACCCATATGATGCAATGAACTAAATTAAACTACCCATTTGGATAATCAAACAGCAAACTACCAATCTAAAAGCCAAACAAACTTTTGATCAAAACAGCCTAACATAATACAATACAATTGCATACTAATAAATTAATTAAAAAAAGAAATACCAACCTTGAATTAGACTTCAAAATGCTATTTTGCTCATCATCCAAGTTGCCATTAGACACAGTCTGAGACAAGAATCTGGGAACCAGTGATTTCAAATATATTAAACTGTAATTTGAATTAAAACCCTTATCATCACTTGGAGAAGATGAAGAAGAAGATTGCTTTTGAGCTACACCACCACCAAAAATGGCCCAATTGGGCCTCCAAGCCCAACCCACAACAACACCCACAAAAACAGCAATCCAAAGAGGTACAGTCAACAACATCAGCTCCAACAACATATCCCAGATACTGGGACTCTTTAAAACTTCCAATAATAATGAAATCACAATCATTTTCCCCTAAATTTAGATAAACCCTCGATTCAATTTGATCTGGGTTGAATCGAGGGTTTTTGGGTATGAGAAGAAGGGAGAGAATTCAGGATAAACCCCCCAAAAAAAAAAATTAAATTGAATGATAATTGAATAAATTGTAGGAAGAAGACAAAAAGGGTAAAGTCAGAATCAGAAAGAAACACAGAAATGAGAAGTAAAAAGTGGATAAGGATTGGAGATAAGTGCCAGCTTAAGAGCTCAAGCTGTGGTAGTTACTTAGACCACAGATTTTCGGATTTTTTGTAGGACCTTCTTTTTATTTGATGAGTTTATGATCAATAAGTTTAAATAAGGGATATCGAATATGCTACGTTCTAATTATTTTATACCCTTAAATAAACGTTATAGATTAATTATATTTTGATACCAAATTTTACTATTTTAGGTGAGAATGAAATGAACAAAACTACAAAAACTAAATCTATTATAGATTAAATGATTAATCATGTATGACATTCAAAGTTGATAAGGCAACTTAGATTAAAAAAAAAAAAAAAAATCAAATTAATGAAGTGTATGAAGGATTAATGATATTTGAAATTGAAAACAATATAATTGTACATAGTATATTTAGTGTATTTTAGGATATCAAACAACAATATATATATTTTTTTTGTTTATCTATTTTAACTAAATGAGGTTACATAAACCAAGAAAGAAGCAGAAAAATAAAAGCAAGAAAACAGAAGCAAAAGGAAAACAAAGCAAAAAAGCCTAAGTAGCTAGCTAAGGAGGAATTAGACGAGGCATAGCCATATCCCTAATATCCTCTTCTAAAATACGACTAAGCTCTGTAGGAGCATTATTAAAGAAAACTAGTTGAGAGTCTTGAATGACTCCGCAGTTGGTCAACCAATCCGCTGTTCGATTGCCTTCTCGAAACACATATATAACTTTAACCTCCCATCAATCATCATTTAGTAGCTTCTGGCAGAACTTGATGTCTTGCACACATTCTCCTCGCATTACATTTTGTCTCTGAAGTGCTTGAACGCAGGCTGCAATATCCATTTGAACTTCCAGCTTCTCACTTTGCAGATTGCGGGCTAATTCAAGGCCTATAGTGAGAGCAAGAACCTCTGCTCTAAAAGCAGAACAATAGCCAAAATTAAACGCGAAGGCCGTGACCAGATTGCCCATGTAATCTCTAATTATTGCTCCACCACCTGCCGGACCTAGATTGCCTTTGGCTGCTCCGTCACAATTAATGACATACCAGCCATAGGGAGGTGCATGCCAAGTGATGTTGGCTGGGACTATGTATTTTTTCCTTGAATTTACATCTCCTAACGCATCCCAAATTGCCCTTCGAGCCACATCATATCTCACTTGCAAGAAGCCTACAAAATCAATAGGCATTCCATCACGTCGATTAAAGATATAACAATTCCTCCACCTCCAAATCCACCACACACAAATGCAAAAGTAAGTAGCCCAAGACTCTTCATTGACTGGATCTAAGTCTCTAGCATTCTCGGTAATCCACTCCTTGAGGCTTCCTTGATAGAATTTATTCATGGTGTTGCTATCTACTGTCTTTCGCCACACCACTCTTGCTGCTGGACAATCTCTCAAAATATGAAGAGTAGATTCCTCATGAGCCCCACATATATAGCACTTAGGACTATCTGTAAGCTTGCGCTTAAACCGGTTAAGGTTGCTTAGTACACGGTCATGGCAGGCTAGCCATAAAAAAGCCCTTATTCTTTGTTGAACCGGGGCTAACCACACTACATCCCAACAATCTTCATCCAAAACGTCAGTGTGATGCTTCATGATGCTTATAGCCGATTTTGTAGTGAACTTACCCTTGTCACCCTCTTTCCAGTATACTAAATCACCACAATTCGGATCAAGTCTCACCTCGTACAATACTAAATCACCACAATGCCACTCCAAACATTCAACATCCCTGCTTTAGGCTCGAACATATCCACATCGCATCGACCTTTGCAATATTTTGCTCTTAAGACCCAAGACCAAAGAGCATTTGGTTCCGATAGCATTCTCCATCCCAATTTGGTGAGAAACGCGGCATTTGCTTATTTTGCCGAAAAAATTCAAACCCCTCCTTTCTCCTTGGGACGTTGTAATACTTCCCAAGAAAGAAGATGTATCCCACGCTTCTCATCATGCCCTCCCCAAATAAATTTTCGAGTCTTTTTATCTATCTCTTCACAAATAGATCTTGGGATCTTTGCAGACTGCATCGAGTATAATAAACCCCCGACTTTGATAAACTAACTTTTTGTCCTGAGGCTCGACAAAACCTCTCAATACTGCATTGCTCAATTTGAGCTTGTTCAACACTAGTCTCGGCATCGGCAAAAAGTATGATGTCATCCGCAAAAAATAAATTTGAAAGAATTGGACCATCGCGACTAGCTCGTACCAGTTTCCATAAAAGATGATATACATAAATGTCAAATCTTATATGCAACAATCATATAGTTTTATTTGATCAGATTTAATACTGTACTCAATATGTATTTCATAGTTGCTGGTTAGATGTCATATAAGTTCCAATTATTGATTTTTTTTTTTTAATGTTTAAGTATAAAGTTGGTTGAATTGATTAAGAATCTGTCATAACTTTATTAGTTGGTTGATACTTGAAGCATTATATAGAATTCCTCTCAATTTGATAATGATGCTGTGATCACCTACACTAATCGGACACTTGTATAACGTTATTCAAAGTGCATAAATGTTTCAATAATGTAATTACTGTATTTTAATTATTTTATGAACTTTATGAGATTATGCCCATTTAAACTTTGTTGATAATATTAAGTTGTAATTTTTCTACTTTGGATCTATCATAGGGAAAGAAAAAGCAATAATGTACACGAAATTCATTATATATTGGCATCAACCATCAATGCTTCACCTAATAGATTAGCATGCTTATATATGTTCAAGTTTTGTAAGTGAATTGGTTATTGGTACGTACACGTGTACAATATTCAATAATGCTAATGATTAATAGAGTAAGCAAAAGTAATTATTGGAGGAAATGCATAACGAAGAGTAGTGGGTGATTTGAATGAGACAAAGATAGACGGCCATGAGTGATTATAGAGCATAATGAATTGTGATTAATGAATGAGTGTGATTAATGAATTGTGATGAAATCATTATTTGGTCTTGGAATCACATTACATGCAATTGAATTGAAAGTCTTTTTTATGAATTTTAACTAAAACATCAAAAATTTGGAAGAAAGACATGTGAAATTATTATTTTTAATTAGTATTACTTGTTGCTTGTGCATTACCCAAAATTTTCTTTTGTACATATAGTTCGATCAATAAATTAGACAAAATAATACTTTGTACTCCCTTAGTCCCTTTTTGTTTGTCCCAATTTCTTTTTAAACCGTCCCTTAAAGATTGCTCCATACTATTAATACAGGAACCACTACTTTACTCTCACAAAAATACTTTAGATCCCACTACTTTTCTCTCTAATTTATTCCCCTTAACCAAAACTTAATAAAGTAATATTTCTACGGGGCAAACTATTAGGGAGGGAAGGAGTATGGTGTTTTGGTGTAGCCAAGAACATAACCAGCATACGTACTCCTTTGCAACTTTTGACTACTTTTCTCTCTAATTTATTCCCCTTAACCAAAACTTAATAAAGTAATATTTCTACGGGGCAAACTATTAGGGAGGGAAGGAGTATGGTGTTTTGGTGTAGCCAAGAACATAACCAGCATACGTACTCCTTTGCAACTTTTGACTTTTTCCGCAGCGCTAGGCCACTAATTGTAATCTTCCCAAACTTGAAATGTACAAACTTATTGAGGACCTGTGATGGCTGTGAATACTCAAAGCTCACATCTTTCATTGATCTATCTATATTCGTTAGACTATGACACAAGAACTGATAGCAGACCAATAAATTGAATGATACAGTTGAGCCAATACCAGACAACCAATTGGCCATACAAAAAATTGGGCAGATGATAGTTTGCTTAGCAGACAAAAACCAGGGAGAAAACTATCACACCCTGTCCACCACCCCGGCAAAAATGAGTATGAACACCGGCTTCAGAAACTAGCATGCCATATAGCTCCATCACCTTCTCCACACCGTTGGTGAATTTCCTCCATTCTCTCAACTGATCTACATAGGCCACTGCATCTCCAGTCAAATGATGCAGCGCAAGGGTTTCCTGCCTGTGCCTTCCATTCACAATCTGCACAATTGCACAAACATGACAAGGGACTAAGACAAAATGATGACTATTGGGGTGAAAGAGAAGGAGACAATATAATTCACACTGATTTGGTTTGAAAAGAGTAGGGCAATTTATTAAGCAAAACCATCAGTCTTTAGAAAGTATCAGACCCAATCATATTTTTTAATTATCTTGCAGCCGAATAATTTGCTAGTAATAGATGCACTTGTCCCCTTTCAATCAAACCATGAAGACAATTTATGTCACAAATTAAACAGAAAAACTGTAATAAAACTCATCTAGAAAAGAACGATGAACCAATGATGCCCAATGAGTAACTAGGTCTGCTAACTGTCTCTTCCTTTTCAAAAGTTGACATCAGATCGAGACACACACCTATATGAATGCTTGACCATAACCACTAAAGGCCAACAGAATACTTGATACAAATAAGGGTTGAACAAAATTACGTTTTTGACCTTTGGTAAAGTACCTCTACTATGAATCACTGCCTATTTGAGCATGTGCCAAGTGACATTGGCACACAACACTAGAGATATTCTAATAAGGTCTTTACTGGTCATGCTACTCCAAAAGGATCAACAAAAATAAGCAACCAAAGAAAATGATTGCTTTAACACTTGAACAAAATAGTAGTACACCCAAAGCTCACACGAACTAGTCTGTCACTAAGCTAAAACATTGTGCAACTCAAGCCCATGTGATCCTCTAACTTTCACAAAAGAGGGACCAAAAGAGAGTGAGCAATGTAAAAACAACACATGGGTGCATTGACAACATCTTACCAAGAGGGGTTCCACAGCAGAGGCTTCTATCATCAATATGATTGACATCAAGACCGATCAGCCAAGAACCAAGTGACACATCCTCATTGGCATATCTGTGTAGTACATCCCTAAAACATAAAAAAAAAAAATAACTAATTGAAAATCTGTCACCTACACTCTACACAAAATAGAGAGAAGATAAAAATAAAAGAACCCACTTATTTACTGAAATATAGGTGGCTAAGTCTTTTGAAATTGCATATATTTGGCCTGAGGCGTGTCTGAAATATTTGTTCCCTTCTTCGCCAAACTTCCAGAACTCTGGTTCATGGTACTTGACCCCCCTGCATAAAGCAGCAGTAAACTCTCAGTCCAAGTTCTTCAAGAAACTAGGAGAGACAGAAACCTTAATTTTTCTCACTTTTGGGACAGGACAAATCCAGACTTCATACAGCCTATGTAAACATGGGGCTTTAACCTCTGGCGCACAAGTGCAGAAACCACCAAACCTGACACAAACAAGTTATATTATATCTTTACACATATATCCAATTATCCCAACAGATAGAATTTAGTGAATATATGGGGATACTAACCAAGATTTACATGCACATCATCATCGACTTTAACGTAGAAGTCAGCATCCCACTTTGCAACAGCTGTTGAAAAGTAAATTTTAGTTTTTGAGGACAATTCATGATATCCTTCTGCATGGTCCTGCAATATAGCAAATTTCCATTTAGATCTTCCAAACCATGGATAAGATATAATAGTGTTACCGCCAACATTACAAGAACATAGGGGAATATATCTTAGTATTCTTCTTTTAATTTGCAAATACTAAGTACTATATAGCATAGCAACCATAAGAGAAATACCAAATTACTTCATGAGGATGTTATATTCAGTGCATTGAAGTCTTTGTAGGTTTCAACAAGTTCTAGTCGAACCCCAAGGATGCCTATGAAATGCTATTCAGACAATCAAACGGCACAAAAAAAAATGAAAAGATTTTGCACGAGACCTGTGTGAAATATGTATTTAGAGACATAATGCGTCCCTAGATGGAGGTTAACTTTTTATTTTGGATAGGTTGTCAAGTTTTAAGGATAACTTTCAACATATTAACTGGACCATACAATAATAAATGCGAAATATGTCACTAACTCCTTGTCTCATAGAAATTTTGTACTCCGACAAGTGTGTACAAGATTGACTGTTTAAACTAGAGACTTAGCGTAAATATCAATCAATCAAAGCCTTAATCCCATAAGTGGGATCGCTACATGAACCAAAAGTGATTATTCCGTATAGTCATCCACTAAGCGTAAATAGCATGGATATAAATTCTGCATAATTTATCCACACGCCTCACTTACCAATCGAAAAAAATCTTTATATTGAGCTTCTTCTACGTCAAGGACCCGATCTAGAACTCCACCAGGGCTAGAACTGAAACAAGGATAATAATAACATATACATTCAAGCATGTATCTTACTAATATAGTAAAATATAACCAAGAGTCCTAGACAAGTAAATTTTGATTATAACTATACCTGTGTCCTATAACAAATCGCACGACAATACCGTTCTCTTTTTCCAACTTTTTTAACCGCTCACCTGTTGAAAAAAGCAAGAAATTTACAAGAATAAGACTTTTCCTAATGAAGGATTTGATGACTGACATAGTCAAAAGTCAAATGAACCTTGCGGCATCCAGGTTTCTCTTATTGAATTCCTGCGTTTTCTGCTGCTAAATGCAGTCATAATTCCCATAAAAAAGAAAATCTTGGGACGGTGCTTTTGTTGCTCAATTCCTTTTGTTGTAGTGGTTGGAGTTGACACTTCATCGTGAACTTTGGAAGCTCTTGCTGCAGCCAGCTGCATCTCTAAAGAGGACATGGACTTGTCCAGTTTCCTGTACATGTAGTAATGTTGTCAACAATGCATCAATACAAAAGAGAACTCTTGAATAGTATAGGAAGTCATCACAATTGCTGTAGAAAGTTACATGATTACGTTGTGCGTATGAGAAACTTGAGAAAAGATATCCCTGGCTTGTAAAGATGCTTCCTGTTCCTTTATGTGCAAAGGTAAAGTTACACACACACACATACAAAAAGGTTGGAGAAAATGCAGTGTTCATGTCATCAATTCAACTTGCCTTGTTCTCACAGTTTATTAGCGGTTGATTTTGTATCTCATTCTGCTTTGGCAGCAAAGACCTGCTTTCCACTGTTACTGATTCAGGAATTGCCTGGAACCTATGGATAAGTCAGCAGACATTTGAAGAAAATAGCTGGAGATACAAAGTCAGCTGACAAGTCTATAATTTATATGTGGTCAAAGGATATCATGGACAATGGCCTAGGAGGGCTAGGACCATACTAGTCTGTCTACTCAGGTGACTCCTTGGACAGAGACAGACCCAAAGTTCTACAGCATTAAAGATAGTACCAACAAGAAAATACGAGCGAACACAATTGGGCTGATTGACAAGGGAGTTTCATGTGCTTTCCTTAGACAGCCTGATCCCAAAAGCGGTGCAAGCTTTTTCAAACTCTCAAACACAAAAAGAGGTACAAGCCTGTTTTCCAATAAGAAAAAGAAGATATATATTAACAGATTTTTAACCCTCACAAAACGACAGACCATTCTAAGAGATGTCAAATTGTGAACACATAGATTTCTATTATTTGAGTTCCTCTTACTCTTATATGAATATTTACCTACTTCAATATCCCAAACCCAACATATCTCATGCCTAGGAATTTGAGTCGTTCCACACCGGCAGCATCACCCGCTGCCCCCACCAGTTTGTCACCCTCAGATTAACAAGACCTAAGAATCAACTACTGCCTGGCTCATTAATATATAACTCCTTCCACTTCCATGACTACACTGAAGTACTAATTGTGCGCCTATTGCTAATATTGCATACAAAATTACAAATAAATTAAGCCCACACACTCTGTCTTCCTTTCATAACTGAATTGATCAACAGGAGTCTCAATACATTTCAAGAGGATTTTTAAAAGTGGTTGGACGCATGAATAATGAATTACAAGCACAGATAAACTATGAGTGGGTGCGGATATGAAAACATAATTTTGATGACTCGGTAGAAAAACACAAGGCTATATTGGTTCTTAGTTTTATAGTGCACGCAAAAGAATGGAGAGGACTGTGAGGTTACTATTCTCCTGTGGCTAAAACGAATACAGTCAATCAGTTGCACAAAACTGGTAATCCTACCAGATGGATGAAAAAAAATAAAGCCATTCTGTGGCATTGTACTAGAAGATGTATGTATGGAACTTCTTCAAAGGTTACTTGGTCTAAGAGTTAATGTGGTGTCTCAAGATAGGGTCTTAACCAGACAGCACCCAGCATATCCTCTAAGGCTCTAAGGCTTTACCTCCAACCAGAAAAGTCTACAACTAAAAAATTCCCCAGACAATGATTAGCAAAGTATCTACAGCCTTTATGGCTTTATGTCAATGGATCATGCAATCCAAGAAAAAGTATTTCTTTTTTCAAGTAAATGGAAGGGAAACACCATTGTGGTAGTGTTGCTATGTATAGATTAAGAATTGTGATCTCATACAAGCCTCTCTTATCAGCAAGGGCCATTTGGATACTTTTAGATTAGGAATTAAAGAGGTCGGCTCAAAAGATTTTCATACCACAAAACCCATGATTTTAGCATGACAAATGCAAAGCCATTATAACTTCCCATGGTTCCTCAGTTTCTCACTTCAATCTAACAGCAACATGAAATCCTTTAACCGGAGCTACAACTTATCAAAGTCTCATTTGCCTCATTGGCAAGCTAGCTACTTCATCATTAATACTACAAATGGATTGCATTTACAATATATATGCTCACACAACCGTACATCCAACCACTACACACTTGCAAGAAGCAAAATGAGTTCTTGTACATGTTGCTGCAATTTCTGGACAATAAATTTGGATGTCTAGGATATTAACAGCTCAATACTGTCAAGTTTAATGGCATGTTGTCTAAAGTCTTATGTCCATAAACCAACCACATGCTTTTAAACCTTACTCGGCCACTTTCATATACCTCGAAACAAAAACAACTAGTTGCTGAACCAATAGCATAAATTGAATACAGAGCCATGTCTATTGCGGCCAATACAAGTTTTTCTGTAAGAGTGCGAAATTTTAGTACTAAACTGTCACGTAGAGCATGATATAATTTATACGAGCAAATTGATGCCTCATCATATTAACCATCATGAACAAGTAATTGATTTCGTCACCAAAGTTCTTACATTATAGTTTATACACATGATCCTTTTCTTTCAAACCTAAGACTTTTCATCACACATCCACTTTCCGCTTAAAGAGGGGTGTAAAGAGTTCATATAGTCATTTCAAGAGGATTAGTTACACTAGGGTCAAAATAGATAATTTTTTATCAAGGATTTTAGTTATTCTATTTTCCTAATGCATGCTAGTTTTCTATAATAACTTTTGCTATTTTGTAACTATGACAGAACAATTTTTTGCCTCCTTGATCTTACCATATTAAAGTCTATGTTAAAAATTTGCAACGTTAATTAAACTTATTAAACCTAACTCGTTAACACGTAATGGTCCAAACTTATCAGAACATATATTAGACAAAAGGTTAATCTACTCATATAATTCATTTTATTACTCAGAAACGAACACAACACTAAATTAATATAGATTTATTTTCCATTTCCAATATTTTGACAGGAAAAAACAGTAATCTAAATTTAGATTAGTTTAATCCACACCAAAATACATTATTAATGATTAATGAAGCTTCATTACGCTTCTAGAATCACGACATTCTACTGTACAACAATAATAAATCCAGTAAAATAAATCAAAGGACAAATATAGAAATGTAATCCTCAAACAAACAAAAAATCTACTAATTAAATCCTTCCTAATATAATTAAATAAAATTCCGAAATCGAGAAGAAAAAGAGAGAGAGTTTCACCTGTTGACGACAAGAACGCCGCATAAGAAGCTAGCGATGCAGAAGAAAGTGACGCATCGAGCAGAAACTCCATTACTAAACTTGTGAGGTTTAATGCCTCCCATTTACGTTGATTTTGTTTCGCAAAATTGTTAAATACATTCAAATTATGAAGAATTTTCCGCCATTAATGAAGATTTTGTTTAACAAATGCTCTATAAAATTGCCAGAAAACTTGGTAGAATTTAGAGAGAATATCGGATGAAACGTAGATCTAATAGAAATATGAAATAAACATAATGTTAATAGATTGTAACAATATGGTGATGAAATGCAGCCGAGAATAAGTGAATTGTTCCAAGTGTTATTATTGACGTATGAGTAGTGAGGAGTGGGTTGGGTCGATTTGTTTCTGTGTGCTATATAGACAGGGTTGGCTCCAATTATACGTTGTCCAACAATTTTTCAAATTTTAAATTTTTTTAAGGATGATTTTGGTGCAGTGGCCTGGACGTTTAATATGAGTTTATGTCTTTATAAGGTGAGCAAGCCTCGGATTATCACCTAATTAAACAAAATGTGTGAATTATGACAAATTTGCAATTAAATAATAAAAAATAAAAAAACTTTTATCAATCACTTTGATATTTTTGAAATACAATTAAGGGGGCATTTGGTTCGCATAGTCGTTGGATTTGGAATCAAGAATAGGGTTAAGGTGGTATCAGGTTGGAACTTGATACTCTCTTTGTCCCTATTTTTTTATGCTTCATTTGACTATGCACGATTCATAAGATGCGTTTTAAACGTCTATATCTTTATTTCCATAAATCTAAGGATGATTTCGGTGCGGTGATCTAATGACGTTTAGTATGAGCCTATGAGGTGAGCAAGCCTCGGGTTATCACCTGAAAAAACAATTGTGTGAATCAAATGACAAATTATTAGTAATCAAATTAAAAAACTTTTATCAATCAAGTTGATAACTTTGTAATACAATTAACAAGTATGAGGCATACGCCCACGTTTGATGAAAAGTTGTTGATTTAATTATAAGTGCATCACTTGATTTGCTTTTTTTATTTTTTCATAGTTAAAGCTATGATTTTCTTGCCAAGTTGGGTAATTCGATTTCAAATACAATTCAATGCTGATCAGGCCAGGTTTGTTCGACCGAGTCATTATTGGTTCATTCAATCTCTCATGCAATGGATTCATGTGGGTTTAATTTTAAGTCATTCGATTTTAGATACATATTAGTAATAAAATATTAGTTGTATTTGGTTTTCTTTTCTATCAATGAATTAAACCTAAAATAACACATTAATGTCAAAGATGTTCGACACATGATCAAAACAACACAACACATATAATTAAATGACCAGGTTAGTGTTGAGGTTCCACAACCCATTTATGACAAGTTTGCAGTTTTAAGTTAAAGGGGTATGCTAATGAACTGAGACCGAGCCTAAACGAGCTCGACATTGGTGAGCTGGCTCGAGCTCCAAGCTCGATTTGAGCTCAATACCCTGTAGGCATAGCTCGGCTCGGACTCAATTAACAAATATCCGATCTAATATCAAATTTACCTATTTGTATCAAATTATTTTAATTGACAACATAATTTCCTTAAATTATGCCCCATATATGAAAATAACCCCGACCTAGTTGTCTATAAATTAATTTAGGTTACATAGTATTTTATAAAAAAAATAAAATTAATATTAAAAAAACGAGTCGAGCTAAGGATAGATCGAGTTTGACTTGTTAAGATCTCGAGCCGAACCCGAATTCGAGTTGAGCCTGCTCAAGCTGTTCTTTGACCGAGCCGAACATTGAGTAATTTGCGAGCATACTCGGCTCATTAACACCCTAGGTAGTAGGTATGCTAACAGAGTATATTAGAAATTAAACTTACTACAAAAACGACATCGTTTTGGCAACTAATCCAATACAACCATCATCCAAATCGCAAAACAAAAGTAGAGGATAGGCCTCACTCTCCAGTCTCCACAATCCTTCATCTTTCACTCCTCACTCCAACACTTCTTCACCAATTCGAGCTCTGTAACAACCAACAATGGCGCAACCTCTATCTGCCTACCATTACCACCATGCCGCAGTTGCACCATCTTCTTCCTCCATTACTTCCCCAAAACCCAGAAAACTTTCTTCCTCTCTCCTCACTCCTTCTTCCCTAAGCTTATCCTCTAACCCCAGAAACTCCCTTCAATTTTTCAACAACAAACTCTTCCTTTCTTCTCCTTCTTCTTCTTCTTCTTCGCACCGTCGTCTTTCGGTTGTTGCCATGGCTCCCAAACCCGGTGGCAAAGCTAAAAAGGGTATGTCCAAATTTCAACTATTCATCTTCATATATCCTAATTATATACTGCTATATGTTATACTTGTTCCGTTCTTTAATTATCGAAACAATTTGACTTTTGCGCTATTCATATACTTATACTTGTACTAGCTTGTATGATGAATTGGGAAATGTGAAATTAAATTGTGGGTTTTGTTTGATTTTGGATGTGGGGACCAGTAATTGGAGTGATAAAGCTGGCTTTAGAGGCCGGGAAGGCGACACCGGCGCCACCAGTGGGACCAGCATTGGGTTCGAAGGGTGTGAATATAATGGCATTTTGCAAGGATTATAATGCTAGGACTGCTGATAAACCTGGTTTTGTTATTCCTGTTGAGATCACTGTTTTTGATGTTAGCACCCCTCTTTCCCTTTTAATTAAATTTTCCTTAATTTCTTAAACTTTGTTGTATATTGTGTTAATTTTGATTTGAATTTGGTTGATTACAGGATAAAAGTTTTACTTTCATCTTGAAGACTCCACCAGCTTCTGTTCTTCTTCGTAAGGCTGCAGGTATATCTCTATATTATCCTGGCTTTATAGTGATTGGTAGAGTTGTGGACTTGTGGTTATATTACAAAGTAATCGAGTACTATTACATTGATATTGTGAACTATGAGGTGACAAATTTTATGGCAACAAAACTAAGTTTATATAATGACCGGCAGGGGCGAAGCCACGAGTTAACTATAACAGTGACTGATAAGTTCTTAATACTTTAGTACCATGAAGTATGAAATAGACATCTTTGAAGTGTTTGGTAGCGTTGCCCCTGAATGATGAAGCATTAGGAATGGGAGAATATTGATACAATTGCTTTACTATTAAGGCTTGTAAAATAAGGCTTGCTTGAAATTATAAGAAATACCCCATAGGAATTGAGGCCATTGTAGACAAAGTTCAATTGCAGCCATAATAGTAGTTCAGTTCAGTTCAATTCCTAGAATGTTGAGCAGGTATGCATTCCGGCACTTGGATATGATTTTTCCTTTGAACATATATGGGATGCCATCCTAGTAAATTATATGCTTCTTATAAATCTCTAGCCTAGCCATAGCGTTGAACTCTTCAAGGAGTGATCCTACCGAGAGGGTGCATGGGTGAGACAGCACTACAGCAGTAGAAGATTAGAGATTATGTTGACATTGAGCTTTCTCTCTACATGCAAAGCGATTTTATGCTATAATGCTATATGTTGGCCTTGAACTAGATCATTATATCTCGCTATCATGTTCAACATGAGTGTCTTTCTGCTATGTAGTCCACATTGTTATCTTTGTTGATAATGCCTGTGTGGCAGTGCCAGTGCCAGTGCGTGCCCTAAGCAGAATATATTTAGTTTTATTCATATTGGTGTCATTGTTTTGATTTGACTTGGACAAGGTTGTATTGAATTCTTTCTTATGTTTTTGTTGAAAATTGAAAGTACTTTTCTCCAAACCAGACCTGGGCATGCTTGGCCAGTTAGTCTTGTTTGCCTCCTTCTAGCGACTGTTTCTTTTATTTTCCCTTTCTCATGAGATTTTAGGGGTATGGGAGGTGGGGAGATGGGAGTGTTGTGTGGAGGGGTTGGGTTTTTGTCCTTTAATGTCTGACCTAAAAGCATGGAAATTGCTCTATTCTTGTGAGAGGGTCCATCATGCATGTCTTCTTTGGACAGCAGTTTATTGGGATTTACCACATGCATTTTTATCACAAATCTTAAAAAATGATATGTTTTTTCTTGTCATGGAAAATGGTGGATGTTGGGCCCATTTCTTCAGAGATGAAGCATATATTTCAGTAGCTCAAAGCCGAGTGTAGTAATTAGGTAAAGCATACTTTCCCAATCAATAAAGGATTGGGAAGAGATGCTGCATTCTAATCTTGTAGAGCTCCATTTAATACTTGACTAACTTTTAGATTATAGAGAACATGCAATTTACTTGATCAGAAGGCCAAGGGTGACAAGTATTATGCCTATATATATATATGGTTCCGACCTAACTTAAAACAGCTTAGTGTTTAAGGGGCACAATTTTGCAAAGCTGTCGTTATGGACTTATGGTTTGTGTATCTAATCTTACAGTAGATTATGAATATGAGATGATGAGATAATGACATGTTGAGCCTTTGAGGACTGGGAAAGTGGGAAAGTCCTAACTTTTGGTTTCAATTGTTAGTTCTTTTAATTTCTTGTGTTTTGGTGACTGGATAATGATCTGTTAATTACATCAGCATTCATTCAATAAAATGCTGTTAAACTGTGATGATTGTCAATGCAGGTGTTGAAAAGGGATCAAAGGACCCAATGAGAGAAAAGGTGGGGAAGATCACAATTGACCAACTACGACAAATTGCCAATGAAAAGTTGCCTGACTTGAATTGCTCAAACGTTGAATCAGCAATGAGAATTATAGCAGGAACTGCTGCTAACATGGGAATTGACATCGACCCTCCTGTTCTAGAAAAGAAGAAGAAAGAAGTTATCCTCTAAGTAATTTTGTTCATTTACTTCATTTTGTAGTCAATCTATTCAGGCTGTTTAAATGTTCTCTGTGATCGATTCTTTTAAGATGTTGTGTAACTCGGACTTACTACTTTGTTCAAGTTTAAATAGAGTCTGCCAATTGTAATTTGCTCATTCTTCTCTTACTCTCTTGGCTAGGTTGATTTCTTTCCTAGGATTTATGGTGATCTATGGGTTCGTCTATATTTCTCTCTTTTACTACGAACGATGTCGAAAGAAGATTATAACAGACTTTTCACAAGAATTGGTCATAATCTGCCATCATTTAGATCAGCACAATGTCATATTTACGCGTACTTCATCGTACAGCAATGAAGGATCCTACTCATCGAGATAAGATTGACTAGAGCAACTTGTAAAATAATGACAAATACAGTCGGGTTATTGTTTATAGTTTTGACTAAACATGCAAAATTCCGTTAATTTAGCCACTATTATAATATGGTTTTCGTTAATACGCAAGGAGTTACATTTGCAACTTTTTGCAAATTGCAAATGCGGAGTATTTCGTGTGATTTAGCTGGTAATGAAATGGCATTTCAGTACAAGGAGATAGATCAAGTCCTCCACCGACTAATAACTAATATGCCACATGAGACATGACAACTTTTATTTTTTTTATTTATTTTTTATTAATATAGTTAAATTTGACGCACAAATCAGATATAAATTTGATTATTAATCTATATAATTGAATATTAGTGAAAATTATTAAAAAAAGTAAATATTTTGAAACTTCCCAATAAAACCTACCCAAAAACATTTTACATGATGAGGATTGATTTTCATATATTGTTGTTAAAATTATACTATAGTCAAAATTATGTATATAAGCAATGTAAAAAATCAGAGGGTGTCAATTATTATGCAATGTTGCAATCGGAAATTACTACTACAAGCTATATGTATATTTGAACTCAAAAACCGAACTGATTTTTATTCCGATTCAATAATTTGGACCGATATTTTGAAGAACATGTGAGATGATCCAAACTAATTAATACGTGAGTAAATTTTATGTATCCGAATATCCAAAAAACCATACTCCCATGATCCCATCTTTGCATCCAATTAGGAGTTAGGACCAAAACCAATTATGTCATATCAATTGTATATGACCACGACAACTAAATTAAGACTAACGAAATATTTTATATTCCCCTAACAAATCTCATCGCTAGAATCCACAAGAAAGACGTTTTCTTAAAATATTTGTTCATGGCACGAAGTTGAATTGAGCCATTCATGACACACACAAACTCTCCATGATCTTGACCAGATTTTAGGAAGGTGGGGACAGCAAGACGAGCCAACGCGTCCTGCCATCTCAATTCTATAACGTTGACCCTCCCTTTTTCCAATTTGCAACTTTTTAAATTTATTTAGTACCTTCGCATTTCATTCAAATAATTATTAAAAAATTAAGTTCTAACCTTATAAAAACCCCTCAAAATTAGGAGATTATCTAAGAATTCTGTAGATCTCCGTCTTTTCTGTCTTCTTTCATTGCATTAACTCTCTCATTTTCTGCAACTTCGCTCATTTTTTCTGGGTATGTTTCTCATACTCTTTGATTTTTCTTTTCTTTTCTGGGTATAAATGTGTAATGTTCTTGGCTTGCATTTTGTTTTATTACATTGTTTTGTTATCCACTTGTCATTTGTTGCTTTCTATCCATTGTAATAATTTCTGGGTTTTGCTCTTTGCTTGATTATGTCTTTGATTGTGTTTGAAAATTATTCTAATTAGTACGAGGTTTCATTTTTATGGTAGGATTATTATGTTCTTCATTGTTAATTAGACTAATTTATCTATTAATTCATTTTTATGTATAAAGAAATCAAGGGTTCTGGTTTAATCTGAACAAATTGGGCGCTGTAGAAATCATTGTTGATTTGGATCTTAATTATCAACATGAATTATTAGTTACTCACAAAAATCACATGCTTGATGAAGTGCTCCCCCATTTCGAAATAATGCGCTAAACACGATTTTATAAGAACTTTGACCTCGTATTTTTACCAATGTAGATTAGTATAAATGATTTCTTTAGATATGATTTCAACGAAAAGATCATTTGAACAATGTAGGTCAACACATACTATGAATAAATTAATAGTCAAAATTAGACGAAATATTCGAATGTTGCCTAGCATTGAGGTGCAACCTTAGTGGCATTTGCTGCCATCTCCTGATCCTGTGGTTGCTGGATCGATGCTCGTGGGGGTGGGACGCAGGGCGGATATAGAGGGGCCGTAACTAAGGCGTCATTATAGGCTGCCAGGCTGAATGTGGCAAAGTTTTGATGATTTGCCGCCTATGTGCTCTTACCAAAAAGATTGCAATAAGGTCTTAGGTCCTACACTAGATGAAAGAGTCTATACGCTCTAGTTAGCTCAATTCATAAGAATTATGGTTAATAATAGGTAGTTAATCACTTGCACTAAATTCTAAGGTATTGTGGCCATTTGAAATTTGAATTGAGGAAAGCAATGGGATCTTAGGGTTCTTCTGTTAAAATATGGTTGACTTGCTTTTCTTTCCCCTTGAGTCCTAACGCAATTGGACGGTTCAAACCATGTCCATTTTTGCCCTTCTATCCCCTTTGACAATTTTTGTATAATTTTGGGAATGTTTTTGCGTATACTGGTTCTAAAACATTATTAATGTGTTATCATGATGTAATTATTCATTTTGTTACTTATTCCAGAAATATGGCTAAAATGAATGGTGTTGAGGAGATAAATGGTGTTGCGGATCAATTTAATGAAATGCGCCGCCCAACTCCAAAATTGAACCAGAGGATCATTTCTTCAATGTCAAGGAGATCCGTTGCTGCCCATCCTTGGCATGATCTCGAGATTGGTATCTATCTCGATATGTTATTTCCCCATCGTTCTGTCTATTGTCTACATTGTAATTAATTGGTTTCACATGTTCTGCTAACAGGACCCGATGCCCCTGAAATTTTTAACTGTGTAAGTAGTCATCTGCTTCTGCTCTGTTTGCAGAACTTCCTCCTAAGGCTGGGCTTAAATCCTTGATTGTATTTGACCTGGCAATTTCTGCTTTGCAAATGTAACAAAGAATTTATGAAACCTTCTATTGCAGGTTGTTGAAATTAGTAAAGGAAGCAAAGTCAAGTACGAGCTTGACAAGAAGACTGGGCTTATCAAGGTGAGCTCATATTCTCACTCTCCTATTCTTTACGTGCCACTTTCCTTGCTGTTACGCAAAGGATAAAAATCAACAATTAGATACTCTTTTTTAGCTGCAACTGCAATATCTGTTTCAAGTTTTATTATACTTGTCTATGGTAGCAAAACTAGCAATTATGAGTAGTTTGTATTTATTCCCTCATTCCAGACATTTCAAATGTTTCTTCTTTTTCCAGGTTGATAGAATTTTGTACTCGTCTGTGGTCTATCCTCACAACTATGGGTTTATTCCACGTACATTGTGTGAAGATGGTGATCCCATGGATGTGTTAGTGCTTATGCAGGTAATGTCACTGAAGATATGCATAATAGGTGTATTTCTGGCTGCCATATCACCTGCTTTGTGTGGGATAAGGAAAGAATTATAGAAGTTTGCTACAAAGGCTGAATTATATGTCATATTTTCCAGGAACCAGTTGTCCCAGGTTGCTTTCTCCGAGCCCGTGCCATTGGTCTGATGCCTATGATTGATCAGGTTCTAGAAGGGTTATTATGCTTAAATGTTCGAAGATTGTCATGGCTGTTACTTAGGTTTAATGTTGACAACTTTTGTTTTATCCCTTGAACAGGGTGAGAAAGATGATAAGATAATTGCAGTTTGTGCTGATGATCCTGAAGTTCGCCACTACACTGACATCAACCAACTTCCTCCTCATCGTTTGGCTGAGATCAGACGCTTTTTTGAGGACTGTATCCTTACCAATTTTATAGTTTATAAGCTGATGAGTTTCATAAAACTTCTAACTTGTCTGTAGAATTTTAAACTCTTTTTTTTAACTTTCATGAATGCAACATAGCTTTTTCTTAACGGTTTTTTAGACAAGAAAAACGAGAACAAAGAGGTTGCTGTGAACGAGTTTTTGCCACCCCAAGTTGCTCATGATGCCATCCAGCATTCCATGTAAGTAATACTGTAATATGTTATCAAACTTCTGTTGCTTGTTCTCTTGCCAATTAACTCTAATGGCCTATCTTCTATTTTTATTGCTATTTCAGGGATCTTTATGCAGAATACATTCTACAGACACTGAGGAGATGATTGTCAGTTAGATTTTTTTGCCAGCCGTATTCTGAAGTAATATTGAAGGATTTGGCTACAAATATCACATGACTCTAGATGCTACATATTGAAGAGTCTGTTGGAGAAAAAAAAACAAAAAAAAAAACAGAATTTTTTATTTGTTCTTATGTATTGATTTATTTTTCTAGCTGACATTGTAGTAAGCTTCAACAAGCTTCATGAACTTGGAAGTTTTGTTTCTTAGATCATGTTTGTTTTTGGTTGCTACTGTAATGCTGCTCAACGGGAATTTTCTTTCATTTCAACTCTGTAATTCAGTTGATAAACTTGAATGAAACTTCAGAGAACCTTTGTTTTTATGCTGTGTTTCAGATTGCAGTCATTCACACCAAGTCTCTACTTATGGTCAAAACTCCGAGTCAAGTTTTGCATTGTAAATTTTGTGAATCATATCCCTATGATCATCCGCAAGATTCTCCATCAATCCCCTGTGATCGTCCGCAAATATCTTTTTCCACACTTACTTCGTTCAAGTGATATATGACCTCTCTCAGCTTTAAGTCTCCAACATCCCAATCCTTCACTTTCCTTAATGGTGCATCTAATTTTTCCCCTCACAAAGTTTCAAATTATGTCAACATGAGAAATTCTTCCTACACTCATTCTTAAACTGTTAAAATTTGGGAAAGGAAGGGAGCCAAATATAAAATTACCCCATCCGGCCACCCCTTTTGCCCCTATAACTTTGTCTCAACTCTCAAGAACTATACTTCTGGAGTCGTTCCTTCTCCTATGAACCTTTATACGAAGTATAAATTCGGAATAGGAAAGGCTAAACTTGATTGTTATTATAGGAAGACCATGTTTCCATGTGGTTTATAAGATAATGCATGAAATCAGTAGTTCCAAGTTCTGACAATATGGACTACAATAACCAAAAGTTGTGCCCACAGTCCTGCGATATGTGGTATTAAAATTACTACATTCACATCCCTCTGTTTATTCTGGTAAATCATACAACATGGTTCTCCATAGAAAAACTGTCAAAATTGTAGACCGGAAAATTTCCTTTCTCAACAACTTGGAGCTCTTTCATACCGCAGAATATGAGCAAAATTGGCAATTGGCATGCATGGTACCACAATGTTCATGCTCAAAGTTACAGCACATAACGTGACAAAAGCTAAGTAATACTACGTAATAGAGTTATTTATGAGATGACAAAAGTTACAGGACTTGAAAAATTGCATTGTTATGAGATGATCATTAAATTTGCAACATCAGTATTTTTTAAATGAAATCTATTCAAAGCATGGTGTATAACTTGCATTTAGCTCAGCATCCCTCAAGACTATCGTTGTTGGCTAAAGAGAGCTTTGCTAATTATACCAGTAGCCTCAATATACCGATCCACACATCTTGAAATACAGCTGCTCTCACTTCCACTTAAGCTTGACCCAGGTTTTGTTATGCACTTCTCGAAGCACTTCCCCCTGACAGTCTGTAGACATAATAAGAAAATATATAGGTAAAAAATCAATGCATGCAATTAGGAAGGCTGTTCTTCTAGTTTTACATCTTACTCATATCATAAACAATTAAACACCAAGACAATTTGGACAGAGATAAATGGTTAACAACACAAACATAGCACAACTAGCTGTTTTTCTGTATTATGTTAATCTGTTATTAGCTCACAAAAGAAAACCCCATCTATTTGGCAGTACAAGAAAACCCCATCAAGCTACATTAAGCTATTCTTTTAATGATCAAATGAAAATGGTCTCAGTTCTTATGCTTCAAATTATACTCTTACAATTTTGGAAGAAAATAGAGTAAAAAAGAAACACCATACAATACAACATTTTTACTCAACTAAACTAAGGGTAGCATAGTGTGAAGTTAATATATACTTTGTATTACAATTTCCTTACATAAAAAACTATTCAACAAAAAATTATAGCCACATTGTGTCATCTACTCTTCATAGTTAACCCATTTAATAATTTTTTTTTTAAATAAAAAATACTTCAATAAAATATTTGATATCCCAAATATTATTTTAATCCACTCTACATCACTTAACTCGAACGAGACCTTGAAAAATTCCAATTACAAAAAACATAATGTACAACTATTATTTTAATATATATTGAGAAATGCGGATGTCATTCAAATAGGCTCTAAAAATTATTGTGAACATTTGGAGATCACCAAAACTTCCTTCTAAAGGATTAATATTGGGTTATTGCTATATTTCAATATGTATGAAGTGTACAGATGGCAGGAGCGTGTAATAACATGCAATCCAAACCATACGAGAACCAGTGTATAGCCATGAGAAAACTAACCTATAACCATCAACCTAATGTATAATTGAGAAGATAAATCATAACAAGAAAACAAATTTTTGCATCCTCCTCTGTTAAGTTTGTGAAGCGTAGAAAATAATACAGGTTGAAAGTAGTATTCCCAATAGCAAGAAATGCTATAATTTTTCATACCCTGCGGCCACGTCTTACCTTTGACTTTCTCTCCTTCCCAACACATATCTCCTCCACCTTCCCTCTTCCCATCCTCTATTTTATTTATTTGACAAGAAGCCATACGAAAGAAAATAAAGCTTTAAAATTGATATATGTACGAGACTACGAGTGCACTCTCTCCACCCAAAAATGTTTAGGACTCCACATCGGGCATTGTTTAATCATTCAAATACAGCAAATTATACATTGGATCCTTCAAATTTGTCGAACTATTCTCACGCTCTCCTCATTACTCAATCTTAAGAAGGATTTCTAATCATAAACTCTAACTGTCTCTGAACATTCTAAACTAGTATAGACTACAATTTCCAGACCTGGTGAGCTAATTTTCAAATTACAATAGAAATTTGAGTTCGGTTCAGTATTTTCCTTCAAACTAAATAATCAAAGTACCAGAATTTCCCCTAATTCCTCAAATTTACAAGTTTTCAACAAGCTCTATAAATAAACAAAACCAACGAGTTATTCAATTCAATACATCTCAACTTCAATTGATGTAATCGCAACACTCATGAATCATATTCATGGAAAGTTCAACAATAATCAATAGTTCTAATTTCACCAATTTAAATGAATAATGTAGGAATCCTTATACTTCAAACAAATCAATATATGCAAATATCAACTAAATTTCATTCAAATATAAAAAACTTTCAACAAAAAAATCGGAAAATACCTCAAGAAATTCTTCAGCGTAGGCTTGAGCAAGCTGATTTTTGACCTGATCCATAATTGCTTCGGGATTAGGTTGAGCAGCAGATGATCCATTCGTGGAAGATCCAAATGAATCCATGATTTTTCTCTCTCCTCCTTAATTCACCGGCGATTTTCTCTCTCCTATTTCTTCAACTGATAAACCCTAGCTTAAACCTTTTACGGAGTATATCGTATTTGCCCCTTTCGCAAGCTGGAAACTAGATGGGCTGGGCTCTTTACGGTTTTTAGTGCCTTGGACTTTTTATGAATCCTTTTTTGGTCCACTGTTGTATTTTCGTTGTCCAATACTATATAAGTAAAACTTTCACAATACTTCCTACGTTCCAATTTATAGTAAGGGTGTTTGGTGGTGAGCATATTAGGACACAATTAGATGATTTGACCAAAGCCTAAAGGATTTTATTGAACTAGCATCTCTTATAGGTCACTACTTTAGGGTTTAGAGTACAGGAGGGAGGGTAAGGGTAAGGGAATTTCCCTACTCCCAAACATAAGTATTTGGTGGGAAACTCAACACCAACTCTACAAAACTTGCTTTTTTTTGGAAGGTAAGATGGAGGAGCTCACTAAACCGATACTTTTCACAGGTTAAACCAGACTAGCTCCACAGGTCAACGCTTGAGGGTAGAAGGGGGAGGTAAGGGAATCCCCTTACTCTCAAGCAAATTTAGTTGGTGGGGCTCGAAAGGTGAGTTCCCCACCAACTCCACCAAGTTTTGCTTGTCTCTACAAAACTTGCTTGGTACAAGTATAGGGTATTTCTAATGAATCCGATACTTCAATAGTAAAATCCTACATCATACAGAGTACTAGTTTTGTTATTTTCACTCTATTAAAATAAAAATAAAAAAATCATAAAACCATAAAACCATAAATTCACAAAATTCGATGGGCAAGTGATAGGAACTGATCTCACATCACCTGAAATCGGGAAAGAACTATAACCATCTGGACTATCTCTCACTCTCAAATTATATTAAATTATTTGATCAATCATAGTTAAAATCATTGGACAATGCCATCACAAAGTCATCGGTCCAATACAAAACACTTCGAAAGGCAATTTACAATATAGCCTTAGGCTTTGGAGGCCCAATACATAATCCCAAAACACATAGCCCATATAAATCCATTACCTCGATTCAGGATAAAATTGGAGTATAAGATGTGTTCGATTATTCGTTACTTCGATTGAAGGTCTAAAATAAACCTATTTTATTATTTTTGGTGTTCCTCCCGCTTTACCCTTTTGGACTAATTCAGATTCGAGGATCAATTGTGAGTGATTAGGGTCCAGTCTCTTCCCGATGTTGTTGCGGGGGATCGAACACGCAGTCCTACCTACCAAGTGTAGCCCCAATCACCACTACAACAACAGCCAATTGGTATAAAATTATTATATGAAGGCACAAACAAACTATATGTTTTTTTTTGAAGGTAAGATCAATTTATTGATAAGAAGCCATACGACATCTACAAAAGAGATCATAAACGATAAATACAATGAAAACTGAATCAAATAACAATTCTAATTCTATAGAACTACGATCGTGAGTGAGATTTGACATTGATGAATACCCTCGTCTCTTGAATCGCTGTCCTCTGCAGTCTTATTCTACAAGGGGGCCTAGCGATTTTTGATAGTTTTTTGAATTGAACAAAACCTGATTCAATTAATTGTAGTCGTTGACCTGACAACTGATTCAACGCCGCACGAACCACCACCAAAAAATTAGAACTTTCGATGACAAAAGAGAAATCATCTACACTGTCAAGACTATCGTAAGGATGAGATCTATTATTATTAACGATTAAAAAGGGATTTTGGGCTTACCACTGATCAAGGAACCAGTGGTAGCCCCTAACAATAATCACAATGGAGATTAAGGAGAGAAAGATAAAGGAGGAAAAAGGGAGAATGAGAGAAGATTGAAGAAAAACTCTAAAAAAATTGGGAAAACCCTAGCAAAAACACCCTCCCAAGGAGAAATCTAGAGGAAAAACCCTAGAAAAAACTAGGATGCAAGTAACTATATGTTAGATGTCTTGTTTATAGTAGATAAAGTCAGAAATTAATCTCTAAATGAAGTTTTGGGAAGGACATGAGCAACTTGATTGTTGTAAGGACAAAATAAACCAGACTTAAAACAATTAACATGCTTCTTCGCAGCCGGGAAGAAAAAGACAATTAGGTAATAAGAATACAATACTCCCACGGTCCCTTCCTACATGCCTATTTCTCATTTTCACGGGAATTAAGAAACTTAAAGATTCTTTAAAACTCATGTTTGGAAAGTACAAATGTGCATGTGAGGTTAGAGAGAGATAGAGAGAAAGAAAAGATAGTTGGTAATTATCGAAAAGATAGAGAGAAAAAGTGTTGGAAAATGATGTCAAAAGTACAAAAAAAATTAAAAAAAATTGATGACAACTCATCAAAAGAGGGAATATTGTTGAAAAGTACATTCTTTAAATAGAAATAGACATGTATTAAAACCCCAAAAAATAAAAATAGACATGTAGATAAGGGATGGAGGGAGTACTTGTTAATAGTATACTACATAAATAATTTGAATAAATATTTATTAATAACATGATTAAAGGTAGAAATTCCTATGATGGATTAGTTTAATAAAACATGGACGTCAGCCGTAACATGAGGCATGACGAACGCGATGTCTTAAGTTTTGTTAGGACCAATAATCAAAGTCATGTCTTGTAATTGGAAAAGGTTAGGCTAAAAGTTGATACTTAAATTAATTAATACACTAATTTATTTTTATACTCATTAATCTTTATTAAACTAGCTAATGTGAAAAAGATGCAATTGGACACGAGGATATGATAATCTAACATTAGAAAATGAACATGAGGGGTTTACTCAGCTCAGAGGAAGAACGTAAGATTGACATCATTTACCTGTTCGTTACTTCAACTTTTTGGCTTTGTTTGAGAAAATGTAATTGTTGGCACTAACAAGTAGCATAGATAAATAGATATATTTAGGGGATGGTAAATGAGTATTGTTTAAGGTAAAATTACCCATGACAAATGGACTAATCCGGACCTGCCACGTGTCCACCACGTGGGCCAATCAGCGTCCGCCACTTGTCACCCTAAGAGGTCCAACATGGACTAATCAGGCCACGCCACGTGGCCTCCCATATGCCAAATAGGCAAAAATGGCCACCAAGGCCCAAAGTCCGAGAGAAGCCCAATTTGCCCTGGTTAACCTAAACCTAGGATTGGCACGCTTCTCAAGACTGTAAATACTTAATTAATCCTCATTAAAGGGGATTCAGCAATTGATGACTCTCACCTAGAGAAGTCTAAACACATTGATCACTCCTCCCCTAGAGGAACCAGATCTCCCACCTTTACTTTCCGCATTTATTACTCCTCAAACAAGTACTAACTTGATCGTTGGAGGCGGAGCTCCCACCACAAGGAGTCTCCGTTGTTTTGCAGGTACAGGCGCAAGGATACCAGTCTCGGAATTGTAACTATCCCGCAGGACATCAGAAAACCCCGAAACAAGTATGACATCCAAAAATAGAATTAAAAAGAATTAGTATATATGACCAAAATGTTCCCCCACCCCCCACCCCCCTAATCTTTGTTGCTAAAGAGAACTTGTGTGTTAGAAGTCGAGCTCAATATAGTACAATAAGACTTTAATAAGACTTATGATTCATCATCTCGACACATAGACCATATGGTGTGTTGAACCTGTTTAAAATTCAACACGGTACAAGTCTAACACAACTTGACCTTATTTTTTTGTTTCATGCACAATTCACCAAAAGGGATGCTGACTTCACACGTAGACTTACACAGCCCATACCTTGCCAACCTCTAAGTTTACTTATTAAAGTTTACGTCTAGATCAGATTACCTCTTCTATCAAAAGTAACAATGACAAAGAAGTAACAATATATGTTTTAACTCTAACTTAGAGTCAAAACGACCTTAGAACTTACAAAAAAGATATATTACTTAAATAGAAAATTCCAAAAGCAATACTCAAGCTTGCCCTAGCTTTCATGATTCGTTTCCAACGCGCATTAGTTAACTCTACAATAATTTACCCAAATCTCAATCACTCATTTAGGGCTTGTTTGACATTGTTTTTTGTTTTCAGTTTTCAGTTTTTTTGAAAACAAAAAACCAAAAACAGGAAACAAGAAAAAGATGTTTCCACTTTTCTGTTGCCAATTTTCAAAATTATCATGATTTTAATAAATTTAACTAACTTTTTATTCATTATATGACATATATTATATGATTTTAAAAAACAAAAAACAAAAAACCAAAAACTAGAAAACCACGATGATGTCAAATGAACTCTTAAATAAAGACTTTAAAAAAGAAAATGTGGATGTATGCTTGACCAAGTCAAATTTTTTAAAGCTAGTTGGTCTGGCTGTGGAGCACTTCAATTGCGACCCGGCATGTGGTAAACAATTGATAGGTACATATATTACATGGGTAATAGTGACACTTAATTTGACATTTATGTTGAGATTCTACATGTTAACCTCTACTTGTACTATCAAATGATATATAGTCTAGAGATATAAATAAAAGCAATCCCATGTAATTTAAGTAATCATCAAATGAAAATTGATATATGAATCATTTAGGGCTACATATACGAGGCACTAAAATTAGTCCGATTTAACCCATGATCACTTCACATGTTTCTTTCAATTTCGCAATTCTAGATAATTCACTATCAAAGCTTTTTTTTAGTGAGATTTTACTCGATACATATTCCTTCTACCGTTTTTTAACTTACTTGTGATGAACTATATATATGATTTATGGTTAGTTTGTCTCACAACACAACAAGTCAACAACTGTAATCTCAGGGTGTAAGCGTGTTAGGAGCGTGGTACCAACCTATATATGCGGGCTCATCTGAAAACCAAGTAATAGGGTTGCAAATAAAGAGCAAAAAAAAAGAATACTTAATTATGTAAAATCGAATACTTATTAATTGTATTGATCAAGGCATGACTTTGTAAATCATTCTTAAATTAATACTAATTGAAAAAAAACATAGTAACCCTAAATGTATTATGACTACATGTATCATTATCGATATTCATAAAATATCTCCATAAAGACTACATGGAAAAATGTGATGATGATTTTGTAGAGATGGAGTGGGATTGTTCAACTAGTTCATGTATGTATGTATGTATGTATGTATGTATCTAACGTATATAATATGTATGTATGTATAATAATGTGGTTGGTACAATTACAACAGTACTTTGTTGAATTTTAACGTAGTCTAGAAACATTCCACGATTATAGTCTAGTTAAAAATGTCTCAAAACTTTAAAGCATCATAGAAACTTTAGTTTCTTTAATGCTATTTCCCTCCATTTTATTCTTAAATTTCGGCTGTGTTTACTGTGACTAACAATAAATGAGCCGTAGTAGGAACTAGCAAGGAACGGAGCGTGACCAATTTTACTACCAGTACCATTCTCATGGCTGGACGGTCCGTCAGAAAGAGAGCGCAAGGAATTTTAATTTTCATCATCTGTTTTCTTTTAGTTGTACTGTATTGCTTTAGCTTGTATAGTTGCATACTTGTACGGAATATATGTAATTTGGTACTTGTATATGTAATTTGATATAATTGAATTCCTTTGTTTATGTTGTTATTTTTGGAATCCTTTATAGATTTTATTTCAAATACAATATAATTGAATCTTGTTTGACCTATAAAGTTGGATTGACTTAACCTATGCGAGGTGTCAGAATTTTTAGCGTATTTCTCCTTAAGCCCTTACTTTATTGTTTAAAAAAAAAAAAAAAAACCTCTCAATACAAAAATATGCTTTAATACAACTATTTAAAAAACAAAAAAACCAACCAAGCAAGCTTGTTGGAGTTGGTAGAAAACTCACCATATGTCTTTGATGTAAGCGTTAACCTGAATTAAATAGGAACAACAAGAATAAACAAAGGGACTATGAAATAGTTGATATTTTGAAAATATATTATATTATATGAAGTTCATTTATTGGGATTATTCTTTTACACATTAACAATTTTTTTTTTAATAAATTTCTGCATATTAGAAAGTTATAATCGATCAAAATATAATTTATAAATAATACAAAAGCTAAAACGTTACAATTAGAAAAGACTGAAAGAATTACTTAATATTCCCACTTTTTGCTTACTTTACCCTTCTTATTGTTAGCTCTTGAAACGATTTACATCATTTTTGTTGTTTTCCACTTTATAAATTTACACTAAATTAGGAAAACTTAAAGTTGGGATTCTTAAAACTGTAATGGCCCCCTCAATTGCCTCATGTAGCAACAATAGAGTGGTCCGTACGAAATTAATGGGAATGAAGTCAAAGTCTAATCCCCTTAGTTGGTGAGAGCATGCATAATGTATATTCCATTATAATTATTTATTTTATTTATTTCAAATGATTAATTTAATTTTTTTTTTTTGATGGGAAGAGATGAGAAAAATATTAAGTAGAAGAAAGGCCTAAATCAGCCATTACAACCTCATGTATCTCAATGGGATACTCTTCCAACCAAACTCTAAGAGAAACAATATGTTTTAAATTATTATAATTATTACTAGTAGGACCTAAAGAAAAAGAATCCCAACTTCCAAGTACGAAATATATGTCATTTAATTTTTTTCACTGTATTTTGTTTGTTGAGTTTTAAAATTATACATAGAATAAGAGAAAAAGTCCAAAATCAAAGTGGTGGAAACAAATTTGTTTACTATCTTCTAATCACCCCATGTTGTATAAACTGGAAACAAGTATACTTTATTCATCATACACTAAACTACAAACATTATCGAAATTATAAACTTGTACTAGATTAGATTAGTACAAGTAAATCCTTAGTCATTAGTATTATAAGATTGAATTAAAAACTAACTAACACACTGTCAGAAATTAAATATTCAATAAACATACAACTATCTAGCAAATATATGTTACATTATGAATACTGCTCCTTCCAAGCTAAGTACTCCATCTAATATTCTAATATATGGGTTTTTTTGTTTTTTACAAAAATCTAATATAAGAATTTGAAACACATAAAAAGTAGCTCATTATATTTGAATTGTTCATTATTATTCAGATTCTTCAGAAGATATATATATATATATATATATATATATATATATATATATATATATATTACTCAGCTTGTTTGCAATAAATATATTGTACTGCACTGTCTAATAATGTACATCTAATAATTTTAATCGTGTATTGATATAACTTATTAAAAATTGATGATATTATGAAAATATATATTAAAAATAAATCTAACAAGATTACTTTATTCTAACCTGATTAGGATTGAAGACTTGAAGTATGAACCGAATATGAAATAAACTTATAAACCAGATCGAATTTAGTTTAATTTTACGTATTTAATTAACATTAAAACTTGCACTTTATTTTTTTTACAATCAACATAAAGGAAGTATTTTATTTGTATAGACCATTATAAATATTTATTTTTTTAAAAAAAATCCCTACAAAAGGAGTATCTTATTTGGACGGCTGAGAAATGAGAATAGAATAATACAAGAGGCTCGTGTCATGTATTTTAAAATAAACGTACTCCTAATTAGTAAATACAGTACAAATTAAAGTACTCCTTCATGTATTATTAATTTATTACTTATAAATTAATTAAAAACAATGAGATAAATTTTTCAAAAAAAAAAAAAAAAAAAAAAAAAAACAGCTGGCTAATGGGCCTAATAAAATCTTTGTAAATAGCACCCAAACGAATGAGAGAGACGTGGTCACATGAGCCCAACCAGATGATGGGGGTCCCCCACTCTAGTATAAAGTCTTTCCCCTCTCTCTCTCCCCTTCTCATTTTATTCAACTTTTTTTTTTTTTTTTTTTCAAAATATACTGTAATTAAATTTATTACCCTCATTTTTCCATCACATTTTTTTTATAACTATGTCCTAATTTTATTCTACCTCTTCCCTTTTCCTTCTAAAGAACCTTCCAGGAACTCCCATCTTTTTAAAAAAAATTATTTATTAGTATTTTTAAAATTTTATATTAATCAAATTAATTACCTAGCTAGGTAGATAGCTAGAAATTGGGATTGAACTAATTAATAGTTCTGAATTATTATACCACTGCTCATCTGTTTTAATGAAAGTTTGGAAAATACAAAAGAAAATGTTGTTTATAGCAGAAGGTAGGTAGACAAAAATATCTTTAAACCCTAACTAGCTATAGTTTTAGTATTTTTAGTCATCACTCATCTATTCTCTTTAAAATGGTTTCTTACCCTTTATATTTATTTTCGTCGAGTTGAGATTTTGAAACAAAGGAGAGGCAAAAGAATTTTTAAAAAAAAAAAAAATATGGAGTACACTCCGTCTTCTTACAAAGGTTTGGTACATCGAGAGATAGAGTGGATGTCGTCGTCGTCGTCTACGAATAATAATTTATCAGGGGCAGCCACGACGACGACGAAGATTGAGGTGGTTGACGAGGAAGAGGGGAACAAATCGGTAGTAGTAATAGAGAGGGAGCATATGTTTGATAAAGTAGTGACTCCAAGTGATGTTGGGAAATTAAATCGGTTAGTTATACCGAAGCAACACGCAGAAAAGTACTTTCCCTTGGATTCGTCTAACAACGAGAAAGGGTTGCTGCTGAATTTTGAGGATCGCACGGGGAAGCCGTGGCGGTTTCGGTATTCGTATTGGAATAGTAGTCAGAGTTATGTGATGACCAAAGGGTGGAGTCGGTTTGTAAAAGAGAAGAAGTTGGATGCTGGTGATATTGTGTCGTTTCAAAGGGGTGTTGGTGAGATTGGTAAAGATAAGTTGTTTATTGATTGGAGGCGAAGGCCTGATGCTTCTACTTTGCTACCTCATCATCATCATCAGTATAATAATCCCCAATCGGTTTCGCAGTATCACCACCACCACCATAATCATCGGAATGTTGTTCCTGCTGCTGCTTGGACTGGTACTAGTCCTACTTTTGTGTTGAGATCTCATCAGCATCCTTATCCTCATCCTCATCCTCATCCTTATTCTCAACCTTACCCTTATCCTCCGCAGGGCGGGGGAGGGGGAGGGGGAGGGGGTGTAGTTTGGGACCACCAAGGTAGTAGTACTACTCATTTATCTAACATGAGTCTAATGAATGTGATACCTTCACAATCACATCCGTTTCGAAGGGGTAATAATACGAGTACTAGTGGTGGTGTTGGTGGTTATGGATTTGGGTTTGGGAATGTAGTCAACCCGCAGTATCCAGTAACAGGATCATTGATTTTTCTTAGATCTTCATCCTCAGTAGCACCAACATTAGGAGCATCATCATCTTCAACATCGTCGGTACCACAAAATGTGGAAGATCATCAGCATCAGCATCAGGTTCAGCAGGGTGGAGGAGGATCAGTGATGCAGGTGCAGAGGGAAGAAGGTGGGGTTGAGCCCATGGTATACGAGTCGGTGCCGGTGGTCCAAGGCAAAGCTGCAGCTAAGAGGCTCAGGCTGTTTGGCGTGAATATGGACTGCCCCATCTCCCATCAAACTCATGATTTTGACATCTTGTCTTCCTCTTTGGCATCCTCGTCCACCCCCAACCACCCTTCGCCTCATCATCATTATCTTCTTCAACAACAAGAACAGCAACAACAGCATAATACTAATACTACTACTGCTATTTCAATGGGCCCTCCTTCTTCGTCATCATCTTCTTCCTTCTCCTCTTCGCCTAGTCAACACCACCACCACCTTCTTCCCTTGCAACTGAGGTCATTCTATAGCGGCGCGTCTCCTGTCAAAGGCAAGTCATCCACATCCTCATCATCCATGTCTTTAGATTTGGACATATGAAAATCCTTTCAAAACCAATTTTTATTTTTTTAACATCTGAAATGTTAGACATGAAAGATGCAGAGAGAACAAAAGGGTTCAATTAGGCCAAAAACAAGAGGTAATTAAGTAAGATTATTATTATTATATAAGCTCAGTATTCAAAAAATTGCAGCTTATTAATATAATTAGTTATCCCCTCAAATGTATCAATTGCTGTAATAGAGGAAGACTAAATATAGTAGGTCTAAAATACCCATTAACCATCCAAGAAAAAAACATGGGTCCCTCTCAACAATCATATCAACGTTACTCTGCGTACTGCGCCGCATTCACCAAGGAAAGAAAATTCAAGCATCATTGATCAAAGACGAGTCGAAAGCGCCCCAAATCAGTAGTACTACTTCTCTCAGTCCTACTATCATATTAATTAGAAATCATAATTTCTTTAATTTATGTAAATTACATCTTATATATCAATATATAATTATATTACTGCATTTGACTTATATAATTATATGTTATTAGATTATTCTTATATAAAATTTATGTGAATGATACAACTTTTTATAGATATTTAATTTGTTTATTAAATACTCAATCATGATCAAACTTATAATTTGTTCATATATAATTTGGCATGCTGCTGTACTCTGGTGTATGTACATCCAATTGATCAAGGTTTCCAAATTTCAATAACTGCAGTAATCAGTCTTTTTCTTATTCTGTCTCCTTCTTTCTCTCTCCTACTTTCTTTTTCTGCAGCTGTGTTTCTGCTATTTAATTCTTAACGAACTTTCTGACTTAAGAAGCTAACAAAGTTGTAATTTTAAGGTACAATGTCTACCTCCCCATCATATAGGAAAATTATATATTCATATATATATATATATATATATATATATATATATATATATATATATGATGATATGTAATTCTTTGTTAATATTGTGGGTTTGTATTACACTATATTATGACAAAATTTGTAGAGGCTGTTCGTTTTTGCTGTTGTTCGTCGCTGCTAGAGTGCTAGCTGCTGCATTTGGCATGTCTGCAGGTGCTGAAACAACTAATTTCCTCTATCAATTTACAGTTTCAGACCCTATTATAAGGTACTGTTTTTCTCATCAGTTAAATGCATTTTTTTTTCTTGAATTAGTTATATCCTCTACATTTTTGTTATTAATAGTATTACAGTAAAAAAAAAAAAAAAAAAAAACATTTCTCAGATTGCATGATGTGTTCTTAATGTCTTGCATTGAATGAGCATGCACGGTATGGGAAAAAATGTGTGTAGCATGTTTACGATGAGCATCCATACATGTGTACGATGAGCATCCATACATGTGCGTTTGATCGATCTAAGAATTGGTACTACGAGTAGTACATATGTTTATCTTATATATCTGCCTGCCTCTAAGATCAGATGTACTTTAGCCTAGCTAGGCCGCACTTAATTAGAGCTAGCCCTAAAGTTTCTGCTTCTAATTCCTTTACAACTCGATCTATATGATACTTAATGCATTATTATTATTATTAACTTCAGTGCATTCACTTTAGTAATTGTATTATTGGTGCTTCAAGTATAATGCGCCATGTGAAAAACTATATGATGAAGACCTTAATTTTCATGTTACACTTTATATGTGATCACTTGAAGTATCATTATTCGTTTTAGAATTAGCCTCTACATTGATATGTATTTGTTACTATAACGCATATGGAGATGAGATATCTCTATTGTGAACCAGAAGTTTTTTAGGCCTATAAATAGCTAAAGCGCCGAGTTTAGTACACAAGAAAATATATATAAGTACATCCTTCTCAAAAAAAATCTCTGATTTTAAGTTGTATAAGTGTATCATGCATGTTTACTAGATGGTGATTGAGAGTACGACTAAATTCTATGTTAAGGACATTTCTAATTTTACTTCAATAGTTCAATTCAAGTATATATGTGTGTAACCATATCTTTGATACTTCGATATGGTTATGTGGATGGAATTTTTATTATATACTCCGTACAAAATAGGTGGACAATGCAATTGGACACATATATGCTAGCTTATATCTATTCATGAACGAGTTTGAACATTATTTGCTAGCTAGCTAATGCAAATTTGATGATAGCTCATTATCATTGTCCTTCAAAAATTGTTTGATCAGATCAACTTCCATAAAGGGCTTGCTTCCAATCCATTAGTGATGGTATCTCATTTCTCTACTAACATCAACAATTAGGTAGTTTCATCTATCTACTACATTTCTAGAATACAAGTGTTAGATCTGTATATTACTTAGAAATCCATCTATCTCATGTAAGTATAATAGGAAACGCAATATGTAGAACAGGAAACGGTGCCATTCTAGAGCAATTGATAATATTCTACATGAATGAGGAAAACATTGCATGCATTGGTTCGATTTCATGCATGTCAACTAGCATCTTAGTATCATGTATGTATAGCTTTTCTAACTGTATCTTTGAACACACCCATAAAAATATAGGGAGAGTTAGAATTAGAATATTGGAATGCTAGGAAATAATGCTTTTTTGGCCCCTTTCTTTAGGGATTGCACTCGTCGGAGTTGGCCGGGGCGTTGATGATTGGATGCGTGTGTCTTGCCCTACTAGCTAGCTAGCTTGTGAAATTCATTTTATGGAAATAAAATTATTGTTGTTTACGACGTTCTTTTAGTTTTTATATAACCAGTGATCCGTACCAGTCAGATTATTAGGTTTTTTAGACCTCAATTCCATAAAAAGTATAGGGTAAATCTAAACTTAATTACAGATGTATATAATCTCAAATTTTCCTATGGCAATTTTAATGTTATAGAGTTGCTGCTGCTTTGTTCTTGCTACATTAGCTTAATTAAATAAATAGCAGGTTTTTTTAATGGTTAATTTTTTTTTTATCTATTAGTTTAAGTTGGTGTCTCATTGTTTGAGTTTATTAGATCGAGCTAAATTCTTTTCCAAAAGGTAAGGAGACAAAATCTAGGCTTCTTTTATCTCGAGGTAGAATTATATTCTTAGTTCTTAGCTTCAAGTTAATGGTACAAGGTGAACAAAAGGATGATATTCTCCTAATCTTTGTTCCTTACCAGTTAATAGTTTGTCACTCAATTTGCATCTCGGTAGATACGATTTTTGTTGGTAGTGATTTGAGTCTAGTACATGACTGGTAGTATATATATAAACTATTTATTGCAGTTTAGACCGTCTATTTAGCACCCAAATCAAATACTACGTCGTCGTCGTTTATTTAATTTGTAGTAATAATATTGGGTTTATGAGTATAGAGATTACAAAGTTCTAAGAGAATTAGCAATTGGATCGTAGGAATAAAGTGAATTTCTTTATTATGTGTTAAATAACGTGATAATACATTTAGAACCAAATTATTGTTAGGGTTTCTTAATGATCACATTGATGGTACATGACTAGGGAACATATATATGCTCCTAGATGCAATGATTCAATTCTAAATATCAGCTCCTCAAGATATTGAGTTTGGTGATAATACATATCATATGTAATAGGAGGATGATTTTTAACGTATTTCCTAGAGATAATGTTACAATCATGCGCATGCCTATGGGATTCTTGCCTAAGTTTGTTCTTATTTTTGACGATATGTGTATGTAAAGTGTTACATATCTCTGGACTCTGGTAAGACTAAAGCTAGGGAATTTTTTAAAATAATGTAAATGAAATATGTGAGTATATTAATTTAAACAATAAGGATTCTCTTTATGCTCGTTTTACATCAATTCGAATTTATTAGTCATGTTATTGTGTGTCTTCGGGAACACAATAATAAAAAATTTGATAAATCTTAATATAGTTTCATTATTTAATTTCTTATCTTATTTGATGATCTGAATCGTTCATTTGAAATTTGTAACCTATTTTGGAAAATCGAAGTTTCATCTTATGTTTCTAAAGTTGTTTTGAGAAAAATCATGCATGAATTGAATCAAATGCATCTGATGTATTTTGAAGTTTGTAGCACAGCTTATTAACAATCTGTTTTTACCAAAAGGATTAGGTTTTTATATCTTTATTTCAAAATTTGTTAGACAATGTTATTCAAATCCAAGAGAATTTAGTAGTCAAATAAAGGAGGGCGCCACCCCCCCCCCCCCCCAAGAATCCCTAAATGCTATTATACTACCCTATAAAGCATAATACCGTAGATAAGAAAGAGCTTTTTCCCACCTATTATCTATATTAATGATCACATTATTCACATATTTAAGCATAGAGTTTGTAAAATAATGTGTAAAGATTATTTTAAATCGCTCCAAAATTACCAATCAAAAAATCCAATAAACACTACACCACATGGTAAATATTTTAGGACCCTTTTTGAAAATCAGTAATTTTTGCTCTTTTACCAACCGTGACTTGACATATATTTATAACGGTGAAATGTCCAAATTCAAGAAACCAATATTTTGGACCACTTATCTCAAATATGAAGTGATGATTAATCGGGGAGTACAATAAACTTTTATTTTAAAAAGGGTTGTAGAGTATGTAACTCAATTTTAGTCATGGACTCAATTTACTTTTTCATTTACTTAAAATCAGATAAAGTTTAAATACGTTATATTTTCTCTGTAAAAAAAATTACGATATTCAAAATAAAAAACGAACAATAATGTTATTACGATTGTACTCATACGAGAGGTGTTATATTTGGATATACATAGAGGTAGGTACACTACGATACAATCGGATATACTTCGTATTAATGAAACCTTTTAAAAATTATATATGGCACAAAGATTAGGGCAGAAGTATACATATAATAGTGGAGGGGAGAGTAAAATATGGAACCTAATTCAACATATGGTTTACCCAACTACCGGCCATACTGTTAAAAAAATTTCCTTATATAGACCTACAAATTTAAGTGATGTTTCCAATAAGATTATAGCTATTGACCTAACTACTCACATAGACCTACAAATTTAAGTGATGTTTCCAATACTGTATGTATGTAGTTTAATTTCATATGATGATTAAATTATTACTGTAACTAGTAGAGCACTTTGGTTTCATTCGCAACCATATATGATGAATTTTATAATTATTCATTGTTTAAACTGTAAATTAGATTCTAACTAGCTTTATTTTTAGCTTGTGCAAATCACAAATTGAATTATATGATTGTCTTGGTATCATGAAAAGCATGAGAAAAAAGGGACAAAAGTTGAGAGAATATATGTATTATACTATATATTATGTGTATGTTTGTATGACATGCAATAAAAGCCAGAAAATTATATACTTTTATTACTTTTTGTTCATCCTACTTGAAATTTTTTTTAGGGATAAAAATAAATAGAGTATGCATTCGATATTTACTTAAATTTATCGCATTTCATGTGTTAAATATGGGTCTGGACCGCACCCACAAACCAAGAGTTAGTGTTCACTTTACAAGTCTAAAGGAACCTCCATCCCAAAACCATACGGCGACAGTTAGGAGGAGTAGCCCTTTAGCCTTATAAAGTAAGGAAAATTTGTCTGAAAGGAATATATATGTTCACTATTTTGTTTGGAAGGACCTTGTATATTTAAAGTGGCCTAAAAAGACCTTATAAGTTTGTTTTGTTGTTTGGGAGGACCTTGAGGTCGTAATCTGGTGATTGACTTTTTTTCTCCAGGGTTGACCTCTCACATGACTGTCACGTGATCTTAAAAAATGACCCACATTTCTTTTTTTTCCACGTTTTCCCTCCAATTCCCTTATTTTGCCCAGATTTTTCCCCAAATTCTTTTTCTCTCCTCAAGAACGTGGGTTCCTAATCCTAATCCTAATCCTTTCTCTATTCAAAATTT